CTTGCTGTTGGATGTGTTGGTTCATCTGTTGATGTTCAAGGCTCAACTGTAATGCTGCATTCTGCTGCTCAAGTTGATGTTGTTGTCGTTCTTGCTGTATCACCTGTTCTGCATGGTTCAACTGCGTTTGAACGTAACCCTGAACAATTCTTTCAAGTGTCTCTGGATCGATGTTGTGCTGGTTGAGAACTTGTAGATGGTTGAGGGTTCTCTGATCATAAACATGCACCCCAGGAACGGTCGATGGATCACCTTGTACCCCAGAAGGTTGGGAAGGTTCAGAACTCTGAGTCCGCATGCGACTCACTGCAACTTTTGTATTTCCCTTGGCCGGCACACTCACTTGGAGCCCGGTTCCTCCACCAGTTCCCAAATCACCCTCCATCCTCGCAAGCCCAGTCTCCGGAGAAATGGATGAACTCGAGGTTTCGTAGGAGCCTTCAGGACCGATGACACGAAAGGGTGTTGCAGGAAGCGACCGTTTTGACATCGACTATCCGGTGCAATGCAACGACTCTCAACACAATGCAATCAACTCAATCTCAACACACTCAAACTCGACCCAACTCAGTTGAAGGACTCTCACTAACTATAGATAGTTTGTTCACAAAAGATCAAACACAACAACAACAATCAATGTCTCGACACACTGAGCAGCACCACCTCCTCTTTTCACTGCCGGCACGCGACGTTTGTCGCGGAGTTTATTGCCACGCGCTAGAAGCTGCGATTTCTGGCAGTGGGTCGCGTAAACGCGATCAGCGAGTCGCGTCCGTCGCGTGGATACGCGAGTCAGACGCGAAGGCAGCACGAGCTCTGACCAATGACAATGAACAATGTTCAACCACCAACCAATGAGATGCCTCCAACTCACCAATGTTTGAACCACAAACAATGTACCACTCACACCAAAACGCACAACGTTCGCCGCTTGCTCAACTTGCCACGTGGCTCTTCGGCCGACAGGTTTATTGCAGCAGACTTTAACGTACAATGCTCAACAATGATGCAACGTCAGTCTCAACCCGACACTTGGCTTCTAGCCGACAGATTTATTGACCAATGTCGCAATGCTCAGCCAACCAATGCCTGCTCACCCGACGCAAAATGCGATCAACAATGCACTGGTCGACTCTCCAATCACTGACTGAAGATGCGCCCGAGTTCACGGGCAGAGGGTAGCTCACTCGCCCTCGGAAACGTTCGGATCAAGCGCTCTAGCGGTACCAGGGCTTCGCTCGGATATGTCGCAGCACGCACAAGGTGGGTCTTGCTGCCGATCGGAGCGTTTTGCTGGATCGTTCTGACGTCGTTCAGAAGTGATCCCTGGTCGTCCACGTAGATGATGGGTCCAAACTGAGCAACCAACTTGGCTTTACAACCAATGTGACCAGTGATCGATGGCCCCTGTTCAGCGTCCGTGGAGAACTTCGTGCGTGCGATCGCAAACACGTCAAGCGACCAACCAAGCCGACGCTCCAATTCCTCGATTCCAGCTGCCACGCCTTCTTGTGTGGCCTTGTTAGAAGCGAAGCTCAGCGCGCCCACAGCAAAACCCTTCTCCTTGAGCCCCTTCAACGTCTGGACTGAGGCCTCTGCGATCGGCTGATCGGCGTTTGGGAAGCTCAGAGTTTTGTGGAAATCCAACAGGACAAGGGGTTTGTCCTGCCAGATCGGCGGCGCTCCACGTGGCTCAGGTGGCCGAGCTGACGGGGATGGCGCCAGCTGCTCAGGCTGAGCTGGCCTCTCCTTCGGCCTCGGAGCAAGCACTACGGGCTGAATTTCCTCCGTCAACCGCGGCTTCGATGAGGCCCTTGTAGTCGCCGGAACTGGCGGCGCGCGAGGCACCGGAGGTGGAGGCGGCAGGCTCTCTATCTCCAAGCTTCGTGCAGCTTCGGCCTGCTCAATCTCCTGCTTTGTGGGAGCGGGAGGTGGAACCGGAAGCTCTTCAATAGCACGCTTCAACCCGGATCCGGAGGAGCCCTCACCCTCGCGCTGGCGCGATGAATCACGGCCAATGGCACGACGCAATGCACCAACTGCCGACTCCACACGCTCAATGTCACCAGTCTCGCTCGGTTCCTTCTTTGTCTTGGCTTTGGCTGACGTAGCCTGTGGAGGTGGTTTGACTCTCTTCTCAACAGGTGGTCTCTCCTCAACCGGCTCTTCACTGACTGATGGCGACGGTTTGCTGGCCGTAGGTCGGGCTGACCTAGATCGAAGCTCTCGAGCCCTCTCTCGGAGGCTCTCCGGTTCAACAGACGCAGAATGCTCAGTAGCCTCTTCGGTGGCTTGCCTCGCGATCGAATCTTCGGTCGCCGAGAAGTCAACACCTGATGCAACCTCGGGCGAACCTCCAGGAACCTCAGGAGCAATGTCAACAGCTGCCGCACGATGTTCACGAGGTTCACCTGTCACTGTATCAACGCTCTCACCTTCAAGCTCCACCTCTTCCTCAGGGATCTCGTCGTCTCGCGAGTCTTCGTCGCGATCCCTGCTGTCGTCCCGTACAGGGCTCAAGCCGCCCTCGGGCACCCAAACCCAGCACTTCTTCCAACTACCACGCTGCTGCGGCCTCGAACGGGATCTCTCAGTACGCTCAGTCGGAGTCTGTGACCTCCGTCGTCGACTGGATCTTGGATGCTCTTCAACCGCCGATTCACCTTCCGATTCGGATGCAGGTCTGGGTAGCCGCCTGGTTTCCCAGGTCTCCACAACACCAGGGGGAGGAAACCTGGGCTGCCTCGGGCTCTGCGCCCGGTATACCTCCCTGACTCGCGATCGACTATCGCGACCACGCTCACGCCCCCAATCACGCTCACGCTCACCACGTCGTTCACGATGTCGGGTGCTTCTCTCAGGCTCTCTAGGTCTGTCCTCTGTGGGGAGTCCACGCTCCCGACGGGATTGTTGACTTGGTCTATTGGGGTCACCGCCCCGCGGACCACGACGTCGCCGCGACCTTTCTCGCGGTGGCATGGATCGCGCCCGAAAGCGCGAGACAACAAGTGTTCGAAAGAAGTTTCAACACAATGCCAATGTTTCGTTTGACAAGCTTGTCTCTATCCTTGTGTATGGTCTCGTTTTCTTCAACCAATGGTCTCCTTGTAGCTCTTGCGGCTGATAACCAGTTGAAAGCTAAAACCTTGGTCTATCACGTAGTAGGCCGACTCAATCGCGATCGAACGTGTCCGGTCGCGCCACAAGGTCTTGAGCCAAACGTGTTGGCGTCCAGTGACACAGTACTACGGCAAAGCCGATTTCAGATGATGCAAGTCTTTACATGACAATTCCAGTCTTGGATAAGTGCTCCTAGACTCTTCTCATCACTATACATGAAGTGTGCACCTCACTCAAAGCTCAGTTCTTCTTGGGGACGTTTCTAGCTGAGGGATTTCTTCTGGAACTGTGTAAAAACTTGCCTTTAGTTTCGTTAGAGTTTACCGTCTGTAATCTATGAGTCACTCCAGCTCAAATGCCAAACAAAGCTACAGCAGTTCTACCCTGCGGCTATGACACATGTCAACTGTCAAAAGCAAAACGCTAGTTGCATGATGTGAGCCACACACAATACCCACACAAAAGGATGTGAAAATTTCCAGATTTTCTGGAGCTGGCAAATAAGTTTGGTCTTGTAGGATGGCTTTTGATCCGTGTCCGACGTTGGATGTGTGAAGCAACCCTGAGATGTGGCATTCCTCTGTTCAGGAGTCATGGGGTCCCTGCTATCAAAGACTATGAGCGTTGCAAGAAAAGATCACAAGGCCTTGACGACAATGACGACAATCTAGCTAAATGTGCACTTGATGCTGGGAGGCGTTCAAAGTACTGGGCAATTGGTACAAACTGCTTTGGATCCACAAGGTTGGTTGGCTCTGGCAGTCCTCTGACGGAACTGGAAAATGAGCCAGGAACGGACAAAGAAGTAAGGAAACAGTAAAGGAATCAGAAGCAAGAAACACCTGAAGCACAAACTTGAAAAAAATCTATTTAGCGCATTCAAAGCCATGAGTCAGAAGTGCAGCAAAGCTGGCAACCAGAATCAATATGATTTTGTTGTAATTCAAGCCATTCAAAGCCAAGCAGCGACAGCGACAGATATATATATATATATACTGTAACAAAAACAAAAGATAGCAAATCCTTACTTTGTGTCCTAAACAAATCCCCGTCACGATCTTCTCCTACATTCACCACCCCCACCCGGCCGGTCTCCTAGGGTCACCACCACCACCCCCGTCAAGACCTCTTCTCCTAGGTCAACCCCCCTGTCAAGACATTTTTCGTTGGATGCTGCAGTCAGCGTAGCTCTTCGAGCCACTTCACGCTGTGAATCCCATTGTAATAAGATTTACAATAAGACAGAGCCATTGCCATGTAGCGTCCCCGCACACCCGCGGGAAGGCGCTGCGCCCTCCCCCCAACCCCCTCCAGCTTTTAGACGACAAAGGAGCCATGCAGTTCAACAGAGTATAGTTTTTCGTCGACTAACCTACGGTAAACAAACGCAAGGAGTCAGTTCAACGTAGCAAATCTTTTGTGACTCGCCCCAGGGCAAAGGGCATCGCTACTAGGAGCAAAGGGCATCGCTACTAGGAGCAAGGACGCTACTAGGGGCTCCTGGCCTTACTACTAGGAACAAACAAGCTACTAGTAACAGGAAGCTACTGGGTTGGAGGCCATCGAGCAAAATTTAAAAGAAAAACGAACCATTCCAGCTGGGGGGGTGGTCACCCTCCGCCTCTCCGGTCGCTGGAGGGGGGGGCACCCTCCCCCAAGAAACGTTTTTAAGGACAAAACTGGAGAAACTATCCAAATTAACAGCTTCTGAGCTGTTAGACTCCATGGATATATATATATATACAGTAGTAAGGACTGAAGTGATACTGAAATTTATTACAGTAATGAAGTCCAACAGTCATCCGGCTACAACTGTAGAACGTTGCTAGTCTTTGCTGCAAAATCAATTCAACTTGTCTACCCTCGCTTGACCATCCTGCCTCTCCCCACGAGAACGGGGAAGCTGCAAGAGTCCGACTGGTGCACGAGCTTTTGCCAAATCTGTTCGTGGGTCTGCGGGATCCGCACACGAAGGTGCTTCTCCTTACGACATCACTAGGAGCAAAAGACGCTACTAGGGGCTCCTGGCATCGCTACTAGGAGCAAGAAGCTACTAGGAGCTTTTCTGTGTCTCTGGCCTAGAAGACGGACTTGACCGCGAAGCCGCAGCGTTTGTGTTCGGTCTAAGCCCTCAAGTCACTTGACTCAGCTTGACTATCTGACCAATCTATGAACGCTGCAGCTGTCATCAACGCTTGACTGTCTCCACTCACCTTCATAGACATTGATGGTCATGCTGAGAAAGTCCTTGAAGCCAAGTCCACCAACACGCATATTTTGCCCATCCGCAAAAGTTAGCTTTGCTGCCACGCGGTGCCCCGAAATGCAAGCTGATTCAAAAAGTCCGCGGTCCTGCTTGGCAAAGTTGCCACTAAAAAGGACCATAGTCGGAGCGGATTTCCAAAGCTGTTCCTACAAACCCCTACACGCTCTACCCATTGTGATTAATCGATGGTTGCACCTGTAAGACCTAAACCGGGGAGCCGATGGAGAGCGAGGGAAACTATGCTGCCTTCTTTCAGGTTTATATGAATATGTTATATATAGATATTGTCATGCATCCTGAGCCACTCAAAGCGGAGAGACAGAGATATTACATGAGACTAGAGCAGGTGAACTGATTTAGGAGCAACAGCAGCCTGGAGTTTGCCAACTTCAAGCCAATCCGAGACCAACCTGCGAAGGAGGAAAAAGAAGGGCATTGGAGCAACCGAGTCCAGCATCAGGAAGAATTGGAATGAAAGAAATAGTACAGAGTGAGAAAGAAGACAAATCACAAGTGAAAAATCCAAAATCAATGGCACTGACAGGAGACAATAAATATTGTTCCAGAAATTTGGCCGCCGACACTGTGGAATAGCCTGGGGCGTAGCGGAACCACAAATCCTGAAACAGCCAAAGTTTCACCGCTGGAACACCAGCCGCTCTACCAACGCACCATGCAGCAATGGGCAGTCCTTCACATTGGCTGGTGCAGGAAATGAAAGAGTCACCTCACATGGCACTCACAAACCGAAAAAAATGTGTATGTATGACATGACATGCGTAGGTAGAAAGGGTTGGAAAATGCAGGGCGGCGTAGCATCATTCCACCTCAGGCCGGGGCCTTCCAGAACCCTGTAGCCGGCAAGCTTTCTGCTCGCACCTTTGGCCAATATGGGGAAAGTATCACAACACGGAGATCTCAATAATGGGAAAAAAACCCGAGCTTGCAGCCCCGTTTGCTCGCCAAGGTGTTGTTGCTGCTGGTGAACTCAGAATCGATCACAGCCATCATATGTCCAAACTTGGTGTGTGTGTGTGTGTGTGCGTTTGTCACACTCTGTCTCGAAGAGTTTCTCGGATTATGCAGGGGGCCAGCGCATGGCATCACGACGCTGGCCAACGAAGCTAGTGATGTCATGCAAAGCAGTCAGAGACGTCCGACTGTGTACCTGCTTAACTTTTGTACAAGCTGTGACTCCACATTCCACTATTCATGGTTTTTCACGATACTTCCCCCAAGCCTTTCTCCTTCAGCCGCTTTCAGCTGCCGCGCGTTTGCAGACACGTGAACACTTTGTTAAACCTTCCAACTGCGCTGACTTCACCACCTTGCGGTTCCATCGTTCATTTCACTGAGGAACAGAGTTAACTGCAAACCCATTGTCTAAGTGCCGCTCTGTTTTGTTTTGTCACTGTGCAGAGTGTGATCCCCGTCACAGACTGGGGCGCTGAGTTCATCGTGGATCACAAATTGGTTCAGCGTCTGGAGTTCGTGGATTATGGTTTTCCTGATTTTTTGTTTCATTGAATGAATTTCCTGCCGCAACACCGCCGGGTCTACGGAGGTTCAACACCGCCGGGTTCACGGAATTTACTTCCAGAGCTTCTTTCTCAGAGCTTTCAATTTTCAAGTTTCGAATCCATGCCACAGAACGTGTACAATTTTCCAGGCACTGTTCCATGTTGCAATGATCAGTTCCATGTTCTTCTCAACTTGATCAGATTACCTTCAATCAGTTTGCGACGTTGTGCGTGATTTCAACCACCCACATTTCACTCTGTCACTGTACTTCAGTGACATTTTGCTGGGCGCCGATTCTTCGCGCTGCCGCCGCCGCGCTGCTGCCGACGACAACAAGTGAGTAGTGAGTCGAGAGTTGAGCAGCACGCAATTCCCCTGGCCATATCCCACCACAACCTCCACCTCAGGCGATGCCTGTTCCACATCAGTTCCCACGCCAACCCACACCGTGCCACCCATTTCCAATGATTCAACATCCCTCTTGGCCTTCACATCCCACCTTTCCAAACCCAACCACAGCCACCTCCAACCACCTCTCCTCCTGCACCGGCTCCCATCCAACAACCTGCCACACTCACCTGCGATCCTCACCAAGGAGTTTGGCAGCCACATCCTTTTTCAGCCTTTCCACCTGACTTCCCGCAGCCGTTCTCGCTCCAGCCGACAACCCATCACACTGCGCTCCAATACTGAACTTGCTGGCCGCGACCACGACACAGATGCCACCACCACCTATCCCAAACATCCAAGCGTGCGGCGAGTGCTCAACTCCTGGAAAGAACCGCCCCACTTCACCAGCAAGCCAGCTCAAGAGCAACTTGAAATCTGGCTCAATTACCACGCGGAGCAATGTTGCACTCCTAACACACCGCAACATTCCTACGTGGCCCGCCTCCTCGTTTCACAGAGCAGTTGGACTCATTTCGATGTGGAAGAGTGCTAGTGTCGAAAACCAGGGAGCTGGAACCTAGCGTGACTGAGCGCGACTGCTATTTATTTCCTTACCGAAAACTATGACTTATCGGAAACCCACCGTGACACAGCGTGACCGACCGTGACTGCAGGGTGTCCGATCTTGCATAACCCCGTCATGCCCCACAAGCCCCGTTTGGTTCAGGTCTGTTTTGCTTTGCCCAGCCGCTCGTGTGTGAAGCCGCCGTGCATCGTGCATCCTGGGCCAACGTCAACGATTGAGGTGGCACCCTGGTCATGAAATGGGGTGTGGAAGACCAAGTGGAACAATTTGGAAAAACCATGCACGTTGTACTGTGACCTCTCCCTTAAAATAATACATGTTGGTGGCAGGCAGCGAACGCGGCCCTACTGGCAGGAGCTCGACTCCTCGACGAAAGCAATTGGCTCAGTCCATTGCTTCTACTGCCTCTAGTAGCGGAAGCAGTGGAAAGAGAACACGCGACTACCTGAATCCAACGCCATCAACACACGTGGCCCCAAATCCAAAACAGGTTTGCGGTTCTGACCCAATTCCTGTTGAGCCCACCGTGCTGACTTTTGACGTGGAAGACAGTCAAGGTGGGGGTGCATGTGCATGGGGTTTAGATTTCTTATACGGTTTCTTGCGTTAAGAATTATATATGCAAGGGTTCCATCGCTCGGTATATTGCCTTGGATCTCAGTTACTCCAATGTCTGCGACTACAAACAATTTACACACACCAAATGGAACAACGACACCAACAACTATGACCTTTTCCACTTCAATCATATCGCCATCCCCTCCTGCCCGCGCCACCAACACTACACCTGCAACATCACCAGCATCCTCCAACAAGGCCGTTTCCTTCCCAGCACTCTTCATTTTCAGCACAACAACGGATTTTTCGCACAGGGCTTTCGAGCTACCCAACAATTTCCACACGACCACGAAGAGAATGCCCGCATAATCTTCAACACCTGGAACCTTGCCAAGAACTCCCACTCAATCCTCGTCACACTTCTTGCATGGGGCGCCCGCAAGAAGATCACTCAAGGAGGTGCAGAACAAGCCGCTGACCTCCTCCAACAACACCACGGTGCGGTCTTCCACCAAAACGGCCGACGCTGGGTCATCGACCATAAGAACGCCATTGTCCGTGGCCTCGCCTGGTCAGCGGACGCCACTCCACCTGACCTGCGACAACATTTCTGCATTTGCCACACCGACCAACAGCCAACCACTTCACCTCTACAACAGTCTCACCACACCTGTCTCACTTCTCCCACACATACCGGATTCGTCCACAAGAAAGCTGCCGCGGCCGCTGTTGACATTTCGCATGTTCGTTCTCCACGACGACATTCAAGTTTTGCCAGCTGCATCACGCGCCACGTCCGGACATCCCAATGAGTTTGAGGGGTCGTGTTTGCTTTCTGGCGCGGCTTTGTTTTTGTTTTGGGTTTGGACCTTGAGATCCCCGTTTGACATGGCTCGACTTCATTGCTTCGTACTGCATACTGCGCGCAATTTTCCACTTTTGCCGCCGACGGTAGCGCTTCATTTGATCCTCCGCGCTGCTGCAGCCGCTGGCGCTTGACTACGTGAGGGCCCATGTCCACTCACACAGCAACGAACAACGGTCGCTTTGACACAACTCCAGCAACTCCTCCAGACAGTCGCAGAGATTCTTCAAGATCTCCACAGCATTTAAAGGTCCACACCCATCAAGTGGACCCACACCTTCACCAACCTTTTCCACCTCTCCCTTCGTTTCCTCAACCCTTCCCAGCACCACCTGCCAATCCACTGCCAGTTCCCTCACCTACCTCCTCCTGCGACACACCTCCGCCACGCAGTTCTCGTCCCCCTCCACCTGCCAGCCACTCCCCTTCTTCTCAACAGACACCCACTCCTTCACCCACACCAGCCACGGCGCCGCAAGGTGCCCAAACCTGAACGTCGTCTGGTCGAGCTCAAAACAAACACTCACCTTCGCCCCAATTGGACCTACGTCGCCCGGCGCGTTGGATTTTCAGTCGAGCAATGCAAAGCTGGATGGGCGGAACTTCAGGAACTCCAACACCTTCAAGACCTCCAACACGCAGCCCTGCCACCTTCACCGACTCTTTCTTCTCCCACATCCTGGAACGGCTCCTCACCACCCAACACACCGCCACCTGCTACACGCTCGCCATCAACCGAACCTGTCACCCTCTCTACCATCCCTGCTGCAGCCGCCACGCCGTCTCCTGCTGCCGCGCCGTCAGCTGCCGCGCCGAATGCTAGTTAAGCGATGATCGGAGCATATTTTATGTGAAGTTGACACAACTGCATTTTGCAACTCGGATAGCGCCACACCTGTCGGCAGCTGGTTTCACCCTGGTTCGTTCGGCGTGCCAACGGAAAACTTCTACTTGTCTCGCAGTCAATTGCTTTTTGCATCTTCAGACACACTACACTCACTCCAGTTTTGTCAGCCTAACGCCCACCTATCGGGCTGTC